TGTGCATGAGTGAGGCAGTGTCATCCCCCAGGAGACTGCCACGTGGGGCAGGTGGCTTTGGTGGCCAGTCAGAGTTATACCTGAAACCTGAGTATTATCCCCAGGTGCTGTGCTGCCAAAAGGCAGAATGAGGTCAGACTGGAGTTCCGGGACGATGCGGTTTGGGGGCAGAAGAGGCATCCCAGAGCCTAGGAGGACCTCACCTCAGAGGGCAGAATGCCATCCACCACTCACCTGGGCCGGCTTCTTCAGCCCCTGAGGAACTCCAGAAGCAAAGCTCACTGAGGACCCCCTGGCTTAGCTGTTCCAGTCATACCAGCAGATGGTACAGCAGGGCTAGTCAGCCTGCCCAGCAGTTCATGACCCTTAGACAGGATCGTAGAAATGAGTGAAAAGGGACTTTGGGGTCCTCCAGCCCCACTGTGCCCACCATGTGGCTGACCTCTGGTTGAAACAGCAGTCCCATCTGTGCTCCCTGCCGTAGGGGGCACAGGACACGGGGGCAGCCTGCAAGAGACTTTGGTCTCATTTCCCACAAGCCTGAGCCTTTGGGGGTGTCTGGGCATAGACACAGTGTCTTGGCCAGAAAGGGTGACAAGGAAGCTTCCTCCCCTGGAGAAGAAATGGTGCCGGTTGGGGCTGGGTCACGGGAGAATGTGGGGCTCTGAGGGGCCTGAGCACCTGGCAGAGGGCCCAGCAGCCAACACGTCTCCTCCAGAAAGGAAACGACAGCTCTGCAGAAGGTCTCTGTCCTCTGCACACAGGCTTGGAATAGGTCAGAGAGCTGGTAGGCCGGAGGGACCTCACAGGGTGAAGGGCATGTCCTACAGCACCCTAGGTGGGGCGTAAGTGGGGGCCCTGTGCACACCCTCCCCCAGGCCCTGCACCACATAAGCCCATCTCAGCTGCTGCACAGTCCTGGGGGCAGGGCAGTGGCAGGAGGCTGGGGATACCAAGGAGGACAGAGAAGGGGTTCTCCAACCTCCTGGGAAATGAGCGCTCAAACTATAGAAGAAAGTTATAGAATAGTTACCGAGTTGATGGACTGCAGTTGATACCTGCCACATACAGATGAGAAAAGAGGGGCTCAGAGGGGGCAAATAGTAGCCCGAGGCCACCTAGTTAGCACAGAGAGGAGGCAGGGCCGGAGCTGGAGCCGAGCCGTGACCCTCCAAGCCCAGGGCTGTCCCCCTTAAAGATGGGCTGGGCTGCGGGCAAATGCCTGGCCAGAGGGGACCAGTCAAATGAACGCGGGGCAGAGCGGGAGCCTGGTGTGCCGATGTGGGGTGACTGGCAAGATGCACTATGGCACAGAAAGAAACATGCACAGTTGCCTGTACGTGTGTTAAATAAGGCAGGACATGAGAAACTGGCACGCTGCTGTTTTCTAGAGGAAGCTGGGCCATGGAGACAGGCAGCGGACGAAGACTTCCCTGTACAACCCTTTGTACCCTTTGGGCTTCGAATCAAGAGAATGTATTATCTATTCATATTCAAAAAATAACATTTTTAAAAAGGAGTGACAGAGAACCTCCTTGTTCAACAAGCAATGAAACAGACCCCTCCTGAGCACCGAGGCTGTGCCAAGCCCCTGCTGGGTGCTGTGGGTTACAGCCTGGTGAGGAGGGCGCTGCCTCCACCCACCAGGAGCCCGCTGGCCCCAGGTCCCCCAGGCTGGGCCGCAGGGTAAGCGGCCACAGGACTCCCACAGCTTCTGGCTGTTCAAGCATTTGCCCAGACCCCCAGCCACCCTAAGCACGAGCCTCCGTTGGTGAGGGGTGAGGGTCCATCCCAGGGCCAGGCTCTGTGGGCCGGGTGACCGCAGGGCAGTGTGAACCCAGACTCCTGGGGCCACAGAGCTTCTTCCTGGCGGAGTGTGGGGAGTCTGAGCTGCCTCCCTTCCCGATTCCCAAGGAAGGGATCACACAATCGCGCCCTTTCTTCTGCTCTAAACACTCACTGCTTATAACCAAGGTGGCCGTTACTGTGCTGGTCGAATAAGCACTGAGCCCCTGAGATGGGGTGGCAGCCTCGGGGGGACGTGTGAGCAGACCCAGACGGTCCGGAAATGTAGCCGCAGTCTGCCCCCCCTGGGGGCCCCGCCATCCCTCCTCGCCCTCCCTGCACGGTCTGCCCGGGTCCCCATCCCAGAAGCTGGTAACAGCCACAGCCTCCTGGACACATTGGCTTCTCCTGACTTTCCCTAGTGTCCCCCCCATGTTATCCCTGTCACACCAGGAAGGAGTAAATACCTCCCATGGGGCAGCTGCATCAGCTGGTGTCCCTGAGCCCCTAGGAGGGGACGTTCTCCAGGGAGGACGCTCAGGGTTTGGCTGTATGAAGCCCACGAATCACAAAATGGTCTCCCAGCTAAAGCTTCCGATGGTCCTGGCATTGTCCCAGGTGTGCCCTGGGCAGGGGATGGAGCAGGTTATTATGCTGGATGCAGCTATGTCTGATGTCCACTCAGCAGGTAGCTGGAGAACAGTAGAGCTGAAATTGTAACCCAGGTGTCCTGAGCCCCTCTCCAGGCTCTGTGCACATTGCTGCTGGAGGAGAACATCGAGGTCACTTTGCACAAGATCCTATTGTCACGTGACGAAGTGAGGCCAGAGAGGGGGAAGGACACCTCCAAGGTCATACAGCAGGTAAGAGGCAAAGCCAGTCTCCAGAACCCAGCCCCCTGTCCCCCACTCTAGAGGCCATTTGGTCCTCTGTCACAGGGATGAGAGGAGGTTAGCTGATGGGACCTGACACCTCCTCCTTTACGGTGTCCCCTGTTTGTTCCAACTCACTCCATTTCTCAGTTGTTGCCGCTACACCAGTGGTTGTGGCCTCAGACGTCCTCGAGGACAGGCAGGCAAGTGAGGGAGGCTGTCTAGGCCCCCGACGCTAGGACAGGGTGCCAACAGTGTTGAACTGGGAAGTGCATTCCCCGCCGAACAGCTTCAAATCCAGTTTCTGAAGATATTGCTTCAAAATATACCAGTGGGGTTTGTAAAAGTGGGGGTCATGGATGGAACAGGATGGGCTATGAGTTGGTAATTGTTGAAGCCAGGTATCGCGTGCATGTGTTATTAATATTATTGTGTGTAAACATGTATATGTTTTACATTTTGCATAATGAACAGTTTTTTTAAATTAATGTGCTATCAAAAAGCATATTGCGTCCTCAGGCCATATGAGATCCACAGGGCACCAGTTAGCAAACTCTACGCTAGACATCCCTGAATATCCGGCTCACATCCGTAGCCTTCATTCCAATTCTCTCTGGTTGCCCCGGGCAGGGGGAGACAGGGAGGGAGAAGGAAGTCACGCTGGGGTGGGCACAGCTCGGAGATGGTCATCGTCGGGGCCCACAGACATAGACTCTGGGGATTTGGATGGATTCCACAAAATGGGTGCAAGTCACACTTCCAAACCCTGCCTAATCCCTCCCACCTGCCCCCTGCACATCCTCCCTGTACTTCATTGTATCTTGTTCATCTTTTTTGAACTCTGCTTAGCACCCATCACACCAAGGGAAAAACAGCAAATCTAGGATCTGAGGTTCTCAGTCTGCAGAAGGGACCATATATCAACTGGATGAAAAATAAGGTGCCTGAGTGGCCTGGCACGCCCGGGGTTAATGTGGATCTACAGAGCAGCTGGGCTCTCCTCCAGCGAGACCTCAACAGGGTGTGGACGGCTCACTTTTGGGACTAGAAAGGGTGTGGGGAAAAAAGGTATGGATTTTTTTTACCTTCTCGGTTTCTTAGGCTGACTACCTTTCACCATGACCTCTCTCCTAAACCCTAACATCATCCCAGTTTATAAAGTGCTGTCACACTTATATCATTTCATCTTCCCAGCCCTATGAGGTACATATTATCTCCATTTCACAGATGAGGAGACTGAGGCTCCACATGATCAAGAGACTTGCCAAGATCCCATAGCTTGTAGGTGGCAGAGCCCAGGCCTGCTGACCCTAGCTTTACTGTTCTTCTCTTAGGGTGGAGGGGGTTCTCTGTCACCTCATAAGCTCTGCCGCTCTTCATTGACCTGATGATAGAAAAAGTAAATATTATTGAGTTTTCTAAGTAGCCAACTGGGATGGCAGGAAGATTTGATGAGCTGCTTGCTACTTGGTGTTGTTTTGACTTATTTAGCAAGTGTGTTGGATTTCTTAATTAAGGAGAACTGCTAGACGTAATGGGCTTACCTGAATGGGTCTTCTGGGCTGACCAGGCCAGGGGACGTTTGAATTTCCCCATGTGTGTACTTTGGGTCATGACCATAGAGCCTCCAAACCTCTCCTGAGTGGGATGGACATGGAGAGGCTGGGAAATGCATGGCTGTTGCACACTGAGCTGGGGACAGTGACCTCAGGCCTTACATCAGATCTTAATTCCGCCTTAGCTTTGCTGTGTGACCTCCCACCACCCTCCCCTCTCTGGTCCTCAGAGCATCCCTCTGGCAGCCAGACCAAGGCTGTCTCCCATAGCAGCTCACTGAGCAGCAGGACACCCTCCCTCAGTGACCCCTAGAGAAGGAGACTTGGGGCAGGACTGGCCCTGTTTGGAGGAAGCGTCGCACAGCCCCCAGTGGTTTGGGAATTTCACAGGGCGAGATGTGCATCAGCAGCAGGGCGACGCACTGTTAGGGTGGGACCGGCACCCGGCCATCCAGCTCAGGCCAGCACAGAGGTTGCTTTCCATGCCTTTCTCTTCTGTTAATTTGGCTTGTTTTCCAAACCTGGGTCAAACAATCTCCCCCCAGAAGGAGCAGCAGCAGAAGGAAATGTTATTCCAGCGAGTCCGTCAGTGGGCATGGTGTGTGGACGGAGTCTTTGGAAGTTTTGGCTGCCAAATAAAGACTTTATTGTTGTCATTCCTCCTTTCCCGAGCTCCCTCCCTTCTCCCCCTTCCTTTCCTCCCTCTTTCCCTCCCTCCTCCCCTCCCTCCCTACAATCTGCCCGTCCCTCCCCCTAACCTAACCTCCCCACCCCAATAGGCTCTGGTAGAAGGACAGCCAGGCAAACGCCAGCCAGCCAGCACCACTGGCCGATCAGAGCTTCTAGGGCTCTGGGCTTCACAGCTCGCCGGAGGGTGGGGAGGAAGAGGGGGGAGCCTTGCTGGGGACCAAGCCCAGAGCTGAGAGGAGAGGCAGGCGCGCAGGTAAGCCCTGGGCAGAAAGGCTCCCTCGCCAGCCGGTTTGCTCCTGCTCTGCCCACCCGGCCCGCATCCCCCGCTGCCTCCTGTCCTTCCTCCCACCTTTCGCTCCTGTCAGGGAAGCTCAGGTGGGCCCTCCGCATTTCTTTACACCTCTTCCTCCGCCTTCTCTCCATCATTCTACACCCGTGTGTTTGCTGCGGGAGTGGAACTGCCTTGCTGCAGATGTTTGAGGCAGCGGACTCTGTTATACGACTCACAGTACGGCTACAGATCAGGTGTTTCCATAGAAACCGGACTCTAGAATCCGTTCTCTGCGCCTTTCACATACCATCCCACGCTGTCCCAGGCGTACCCACAAGTCACACAGAGGCTGCACTTCCACTCCACACACACACACACACACACACACACACACACACACACACACTCACTCTCTCTCTCTCTCTCTCTCTCTGCATCTTGTCTCTCACCCTCATGCATGCTTTCCCCGCCGCCGTAAGAGCAAAGAGAAAGTGCATCTTTCCCACTGAGATGGCAGAGCCAAAAGAAAATCCTGTGTCCTTCCTGAGTGTAGACTGAGCGGGGAGGAGATGGACAAGAACAGGGGCTGGAACGCAGTCTTCCTGCTTCAGAGCTTAATTGGGTAGGTGGGAGGAAAAGTGGCTTTCCGACCGATACCGTGTCTTCCCAGTAGCTGTGCATTTCTGTCTCACTGGTCCAAACCGCTTAGCTTTTGGAAAGAGAAAAGAAAACGGCCCAGCTTCTAAGCCTGGGAGGTCCTCCTTCTCAGCTCAGGGCGCAGTGTATTTATTTATTGTCTCTGCAGGCAGCCTGAAAAGATTTCTCCTTAAAGACGTTTCAAAATTATCCCGGGTTAACAAGGGGTCTTTGTGGTAGAGATTAAAAGACCACAATCAGTCAGGGTGGGGAAAGCTGAAGCAGGTAACTGAATGCGCGGTTTCCAGATTGTTGGGGGGGCCTCCATCTGCCGAGCACCCTCCTCTCCAACCGCAGAGTACCACCCCAAGGCAGGCGGGTGTGGGCTGGATCAGGGCCCCCAAATACTGTTGCTCTTCAAAAATCACCTGGTGGGGTGGGGGGTGCTTACTGAAAGTGTAGATGTCTGGACGCCTCCCTCCAGCCCTACTGGGTGGAGCCCAGGAATCTGTTGTTTTAATACTTGAGGGGTTCCTGACAGTCAGCCAGGGCTTGAGAACCTGCATCAGGGTCCTGAGGGGGGCGGAGACTGAGAAGCACAGGACTTCCAGCCGCGTTTGCAGGGCGGAAGGGCTGTGTGCTTTCCTGGACAAGGACCGCCTGGTGGAGGAGCTTCGGTGTTCCAGAGGAGCCACCCTCTCTGGGCCCTGGGAGAGAGCGCCTGAGAACTGGGGCCATCTCCTGTGGTTCCTCCCACCTGCTCATCTGCCTGCTCTGGGCCCCCGGGGGCACTGTGCTGGGTCCCGGTCCATCCCTCCTAGGTCCCCTCCCAGCCCAATAGCTGTGCCTGCTGAAGGGCTCATGGAGAGGGGTTCCCCAAGTCACCTCCCCAGCAGGCAGCCCCGTTTATTGGGCATGCGAGGGAAGCATTTCAAAGCTGGAAAGGGCAGAAAAGCCAGGTATACAAGGTTGGGAGGGGAAGCCTGAATCACAGAGGGAACCCCAGCCGACTGAGGCGGGGTGACTCTGCCTTCCCAGGCCGGCTTCCCCCACTTCCGTGCACCGTGGGGCCGATAGGTGACCGGGAGGAGCACAGGAAGCACCCCCAGGTGGCGTGTGGGGGGCTTCTATGGTCTCTCCAGTTCATTTGTTCTGAGACCCAAGTGTGGTCTCACTGGCCCCAAAGTGGAGGAAGCTGCTCTGTGTGCAGGAGCTGGGGAGGAATCTGTGAGCGCGGCTGGACCCCTGTCTTTAGGTGGAGGGTGGGGCTGCCCTCTGGCCTAGCAGAAGGAAATGAGACCCCATTTCTTGGAAATAATGTCAACAACAGCTTAATATTCCCTGAACATTTACTTCACCCACATTTTCTCATTTAACCCTCAAAACAAGCTGATAAGAAGGTGCTCATGGGCACATTTTACAGAGGAGGAAACTGAAACTTAGTAGAGGTAAGAGATTTGCCCACGAGCACCCAGCTAAGTGGCTGAAGAGTTGCAGGCTGGGTCCCAGATTTATGGGCACCCAAAGCATCAGACACATCCTTCCTGGCCTTCTTCAGGGGCAGAGGTGCGAGGAGATGAAGGCAGAGAGAAGGGTCCGGTGAGGCGACGGGCCATCAGAGCAGGAGGCCCACCGCACCCTCTTCGCCCACTCGGTCCCCCGGATTGGAAATTGCTCCTCTGGAGAAGTGGCCCGAGGCCAGAAAACCTTCATTCTGTTTACACTTTGCCTGGTGGTAGACGGTGGGGAGACAGATGGTCTCTCTATGATAGTGTTATATTTATTTTTAGCACTTTTCGATCTGCAGAACATTTTAAAGTCACTTATCACACTTGCTTCTGACCGCAACTGGGAGAGGACTATGGGGACGGGGAAGATTTTGTTATCTCTGTTTCATAGATAAGGACACTGAGGCTGGGAACCCTGATTCCCCATCTAGTGTGAACCGTGATGCTCGCCTTATACTAATTTCATCCCCTAGGAAAGAAGCAGCTGCGCCCATGTGTCGTAGTCATCGTGCTCCCAAAATCAGCCCTTCCGTTTCCCCAGGACCACACAGCTCTGTCAGAGGCCTCAGGCAGTCTGGGGGGCCTGCCTGGCTCCTCTGCTAACAAATGGGCAGAGACCACCTGATTCTCCTGGCCTCCAAGAAGAGACAAAGGGATTAGGATGGCTTTCAGAGTCTCAGTTTAGAACAGAAAGAGGGGAAAAAAAAGAAAAGAGGGTCACGCCCACATCCATGGGTGTGGCTCTGAGGCAGGGCAGCCCCATTCTCCACAGCAGGGCCACTGGCTGGGTTAAGCCACAGAAGCTGAGGGGTGACCAATGGGACAGGAAAGCTGACAAGAAGAATGCCAGTAGTGTGCGGAGTGATCCTTCTTTAACCCAGGGAGACACCTGAGCTCGCTCCCCGCCCAGCACCAATCCCAGACACTTAGTACAAAGCCAATGGCCTTAAACTTGCTCCTAATGACCTGCCAAACCCACCTGGACCTCAACCAAGCCCTGCCCTGGGCCTAAACATTGCACCAGGCCTGGGTGTTCAAACCTTAAATGAATGAATTCATGAGCTAAACAGGAATGAGGGCTCTCTCACTTTAAAAATCAGAGTTGTTTTAAAGTATCTGCTCTTTTACAAACAAATAAATTAATGAAGGAAAACCCTGCCCTTTGCAGGGAGTTAGCGCTTTACCACATGCCTTTGTGTGCGTGATCTCATTTGATCCTCACACAGAGGAGGCGTCCGGGGCTTGGGGCGGAGGGTCAGAGCCAAGATTCAAGCCCAGAGATCCCAAACTTGAAACTGAAATTTGAACATAACATTCTCTTAGGAAATGTTCTTAAATGGAGAGAGTGAATTTTGAGTTGGGCAAAACAATTGTTCTTCCCCCCCTGAAACAGCAGCTGTTTGAGAGCCACAACTGGCAAGCAGGGCTGCATGAGGCTGCGGTTGTAAGTGGCCCCAAGTATTCATTAACTGGGCAATCAGCATGCCCTGCAGGAGGGTGGTGGGTGGGGAAGTGTGCTTGCAAAGGCATAAGAAATTCAAAAATCATGCACACTTATGACCCACCCCAAGGGAGCTTATGATTGGACAGAAGGTTCTGGAAGGCAGAAGTATAAGACAGTATGTCTTTGGTCTTGGGGTGGCATGGGGTCTGGGGAGGACTATGACTTCCCTTGGAGTGCAAGGACCTCCAGTCTGTCACACAGATTGTGATATCAGAGACCCAGACATCCCATGTGCTGCCAGAGCAATGGCTGTGCAGAAATGACAGCCCCTCTGGACAGCCAAGCTCCAGCAGGAAGGGGGGTTGCCCGGTGAGAGAAAGCCTTAAACATGAACCCCATTTCCTCAAGGTAGAAGGATGGGCATGTGCACACACACAGGCCAGCTCAGCCGTGGGGCTGAGAGGCGGAGTGGAGCAGATCCAGTCTCTCCCTAGGTCCAGGGAGCTGGAAGCCTGCAGCTGTGAGACGGGCTTGTCCAGCCCCAGAGGTCTCGATGCAAAAGGGACAGAAGGCTGGTGGGGAGGATGAGGGATGTGCCCTACGGGTCTGGCGCAGGAGCCGGGGATGAGGAAGGCCTATGTTTGCTGTGGAGGGAAGGGGCAGGAGGCTGGCCTTCCGGGTGGAGCAGTGACTGACTGTGATTCTGTCACTCCTGACAGTGGGGACCAGGGCTGCCCATGCCCAGGGCTGCTGAGAAATGCCAGCTGCCCGAGGCCCTGTGCCTCGCAGTGCATGCTTCTGCGGGAAGCTGTGGACAAGCTCTACTGGCTTAACTCAGGGCCCGGTGCCTGGTAGATGCCTCTGGTGACAGGCAATGAAGGGAAATAGTGCTGGGACACCTCCCCGGGGAGGGCTTCTCACGTCATGAGACATTTCTTATTTTCAGGCTCTGGGTGATCAGAAAATACAGAAATGGCCAAAACAAAACAAAAGATTCAGGATCACCGAAGTTGGGGCCTTTATAATGGTTTGGTTTTAGCATATTAATGCTTTAACCACCTCCCTACAATTTAGATGCACTATGACTGAACTGTTATCAAGAAAATTACAGGACTTACATTAATTCATGGTTCACCAATTACAAGTGGTGTGGGGTCCGGCGACAAAACTCAGGTTGAGTTTTACGATGAATGTCTCCTCTTTCCAGCCCTGTCAGTGAACCCCAGAACCATTATATCCTCAAGTGGAGGTAGAGCCAAGACTCTAACTGCAAGGCCCTTTGTGATGGGAGGCCCAGGGACAATAGCCCTCCTGGGGCCCTTAGAGAGGCCTGCCTGGGAAGAGGCCGCCTTCAGGGGAGGTGGGGAAGCCACAGAGGCTGCGGGCCACCGCGTCCCTCCCTCCTCCTCGCCTGTCTTCCTTTCTCCCCTCTCCCCGCGTCCCTGTCCTCGGTGTGCTGGGTGAGGGCTCGCACACACTCTGAGGACGTGGGGCCAGGGTTTGTGTGCAGGGCAGGGGAAGAGCACAGGTGTGTGCGAGGGCGGGCAGCAGGTGCTTAGGGCGCGCAGGGAAGGTGTGGGAGACGCTCCTCCCGGGCTGAGCTCCGCCCTCTCCTGTTTCTTGTTATATGCGGCTCCTCCTGAACATCTGGCCAGGACTACGCAGCTGGTGAGGGCCTTCTCCCATCTTCCTTTGAGCAAAGCCAGCAAGAAGCCTGCACTGGGTCACACGAGGGACGAGTCTAAGCTGATACGGGCTCAAAGCCACGAGAGCAGGGGCCTGGAACAGGGGCAGTGATCACAGGGTCCAGCTGCAGCCAAGCACACACTCCTGCCCGCACTTGTCTCAGAGAACCCCAGGAAGCCTGCATCCCCTACGTGCCCCAGACCCCAGTGCGAGGGGTGGGTCACCATAACTGTGAAACCACAGTGAGGAGGGCCAGTGGAAGCCATGTGGGGACCAGAGGGCATGTCACCAGATGGCCCTGGGGAGGGGAAACACAGGGACCCTCTCTCTCGACCCTTTCCAGGCAGTCCAGGAATGCCTGGGGGAGCTGCCACTTTCTGTTTGCAGCCCTGGGTCTCTTGATATTCCCCAGCTTAATTCAGCTCAAACCACAGGGCCCTATCTGAGGGTCATCAGGGCCAACAGGAAGGACAGCCCCCAAGTATCCTGAGCAGCCTAGTCTGTGTGTGACAGAGGCCGGCAGGAAGTCCTCGGTATCCTCCCAACACCCATGTCAGTGCACACGGGGGCTAGCAGTACCAGATCAGAGGAAATGGAAGTGGTCTCCCCACAGTTTTCGATCCCTTCCCTGTTTATTTTCCCAGGAGCCTCCACATCTGGGGAGAAATTCTTGGCATGTCTCCTGTTGGCAAAGACCAGCATTCTGTGAGCGGAGCGCAGAGGCATGGGGCAAGCAGGGGCGGACACGGGGTCTGCAGCTCTGTCCCTCCTTCGCAGTATGTCTACGAGCCCTGCTCTGGGAGGCAAGGAGACCTGGGTTTTTGTCCTGGGTCTACTGTTAAACAGTTTCCTGGAGCCACTTCTTCCCTCCAGCACTCAATTTTTATAAACAGTAGAGTCTGGACTTGATCAGTGGATTTCAAAACATTTTTAGCAATGTAACTTTTTTCCCCAGTGAATGTTTTGGCTAAACCTCAACAGATAAAACCGATTTTAAAAACACAGAGCTGCTCAGGTTGGCCTAGGGGTGGGTTGAGGGGGTCTCAGGGCCACCCACTCAGTCTCTCTTCCTTGGGGGAGCTCCACAAGTGGGGGTACAGTTTGAAAACCAAGTTATGGGATCTCTAAGGGCCCTTCCAGATGCAATACCTCAGGCTCTATGGTTCATATATCCTAACATTCCTCCCATAAAAATGGTGGTGGTCGGTGAGGGGGCTGGTGTTGTGGGAGGTGGGGTGGGGTGCGGGGGTTCCCATGACGCCGGGGAGGGTGAGGGCTGGAGAGGTAAGGGCTTCTCCAGCAGCCCAGGGCTCCTGGTTCAGATCCCACCGTGCCCTCTGCCAGGATGGCCCACCCCCTCTGCAGCGGCTGCCACACCGAGTGGCCAAGCCTCTGGGTAGGGGATCCGGCCCCTCCAGCCTTTGTTGCTTTCTTGTTGGCTGGATACAGGTAAACAGGGAGCTGCTTCCACAGATCCTCCCACGGCTCGGTGGGGCCGGTCCTACCTACTCCAGCTGCAAAGACATGGCCTCTAATTCTGAGTCCTGGAAGCTAACGGTGCCTGTGTCTCCTCCCTGCAGGTGGTCACCTGGACCATGAGGTCATCCCTCTGCTGGCTCCTCCCACTTCTCCTGATCTTGGCCTCAGAGGCCCAAGGCCAGCCAACAAGACGACCCCGACCAAGGCCCAGGCCCAGGCCCAGGCCCAGGCCTAGGCCCACACCCAGCTTTCCTCTGCCCCCTGAGCCGGCAGAGCCTACAGACCTGCCTCCTCCCCTCCCACCAGGCCCACCGTCTATCTTTCCCGACTGCCCCCGGGAATGCTACTGCCCCTATGATTTCCCGTCTGCCCTCTACTGTGACAGCCGCAACCTCCGGAAGGTGCCCGTCATCCCGTCCCGCATCCATTATCTCTATCTCCAGAACAACTTCATAACCGAGCTCCCGCTCGAGTCCTTCAGGAATGCCTCGGGCCTGAGGTGGATCAACCTGGACAACAACCGAATCCGCAAGATAGACCAGAAGGTGCTGGAGAAACTCCCGAGGCTGGCGTTCCTGTACGTGGAGAAGAACCAGCTCCAAGAGGTGCCCTCGGCCCTGCCCCGGAACCTGGAGCAGCTGCGGCTGAGCCAGAACCAGATCTCCAGGATCCCGCCCGGCGTGTTCAGCAAGCTGGAGAACCTGCTGCTCTTGGACCTGCAGCACAACAAGCTGAGCGACGGCGTCTTCAAGCCTGACACCTTCCAGGGCCTCAAGAGCCTCATGCAGCTGAACCTGGCCCACAACACCCTGCGGAGGATGCCGCCCAAGGTCCCCACCGCCATTCACCAGCTCTACCTGGACAGCAACGAGATCGAGGCCATCCCGAGTGGGTACTTCAAGGGCTTCCCCAACCTGGCCTTCATCCGCCTCAACTACAACAAGCTGTCCGACAGGGGCGTCCCCAAGAACTCCTTCAACATCTCCAACCTGCTGGTGCTCCACCTGTCCCACAACAAGATCAGCAATGTGCCTGCCATCAGCAACAGGCTGGAGCACCTGTATCTCAACAACAACAGCATTGAGAGTGAGTGGGGGTTAAATGTGGGTAAAGTGCCCAGATTGCTATGCTTGCAGCATTTCGTCTTTTGCTGCTTGTCCTCCATCCCTTCTTGCCAGCCTAGCTTCCTGGTCCTCCAGATCTATCGCTAGGGTAGGCAAGGACATTCTCCTGAAAGTGCAACAGTGACATCTAAATGCCCATCTGAAATGTCCTGGGCCCATCCACTGCAGAAGCCGGCAGCTGTGACAGGAGGCGTCTTCCCAAGTCTGAGCCTAGGTTTGGAAGACTCCACACAAAGTGCACACCAAGAGGCAGCTATATCCTCGGCATGCTCACCTGGTCAGAACGTGACAGCCAGAAAAACATGTCTGTATGCAGGTGCTTTCTGAATCTCTCTGGAAGGCTGGAGCATTTAGTCATAAAAGACAGTGTGTTTAAGGCAGAACTTGCCTAAGCTACATTTGACAGGTTCCTGGGTTCAGAGTAAAAACTGCAACCTGAAAGAGGCTGGAAGTAGCAGTTTAGCTTCAATCCAAAATGTCAGCTCTGCACAGGGTATTAACAGAAAGGTTTAAAAACAAAAGAGAGAATATTATCTGGTCCCTCATAAAAACCAGGCTACATCCACACAAAGAATGCAGTAGCTGTAGCAATGAAGGGGGTTCAGGGGAAGGAGAAACACCCCTAAAATAATAGGAATCCATAACTACTTCCAAGCCACAAAATGAGGGGGAAATTGTTGAATTTCTTACTCTTGAAACAAATGATGAGAGAATAGGCTTCTTTGCTCGTCTGAGATATGTATTCAAAGTGGAGAAGGGCTTTTTAAAATGTTACAAGAAACAAATTCAGGAAAAGGGGAAAGTGTCTAATTTTACCCTGCAGTTGTGAACTGATAGAACAGTTACCCCCAGGAAGCTGTATAGACTGGAAATATAAACAGAAAGAACACCTTAGAAAGTGGCTGGTAGGTGTCTATTACACTGGGGAAGAACTGGCTCCTAGAGAATATCCAGCCCTCTGAGGCTGAAGTCAGAAAAATCACACCCCTTCCATACATGCCCACCTACAACCAGCCTGTCCCCAGTGTCTGACAGACAGGGCAGGCTGAGTGGGCTCCCGGTCGGTGGGGGGTCGGTGGGGGGATCGTGTTCTCAGCAATGACCTCCTGCTGCCACGTAGCGAGGCCAGTCCTTTACAGTTTGCAAAATACCTTCAAGAAAGAAAGACAAAGACAAAGGAGAACAACACAGTGATGCCAACCCCGCAGGTGACAAAGAGGCCAGGCCTAGGGAAAATTAAAATATTCATTTAGAAGATAACATAGTGACATCATCTAAGAAGGGGTGAAGGAGAAATGTAACCTCATGGTCCACTTGAAAGCTCACCACAATTTGGCTGCAACCTACCTCTCCGCCTTCCTCTCCCTAGAGGCAGTCATCACTTCTAAATCTATAGGCTTATCACGCACCCCCGCCTTCCCGGGCCTCCTTCCTTCTTCCTGCCCTGTTTCGGTTAGGGTGACCATCCTCTGTCTACCCTCATGCTCGGGGCCAGAGCACAGGAAACCTCCCAACTCATTCTGCCGTCCACCTGCTGGCTTCAGACCTTGTCTCCCCCATTGTTTCTCCACACCGTAGTGAGATTTGTCTTTTTACAGTGTAAACCTGGTCATAGGACCCTTCTGGATTTAAAATGCAGGATGCTGTGGCTCATATATCCCGTCATCCCTCATAATGACAGTCCTGCTCAATGCCACTCCTCAGACTGGAGATCAAAACCCCCATCCTCACTAAAATATTTGAAAGCCTACCATAATTTGTGGCCACAACTTACCTCTCCAGCTTCCCCTCCCTAGTATCACATTATTCTATTTACCACCCCCAGATTCTGTCACGAGCTTTTCGGCCTCCCTAATTTCATTCAGATGGGTCACCCTACCAGAACCCAGGTCTCCCCTATGAACTCCTACTATCTTTGAAGGTCCAGCTCAAAGTTTACTTCGTCCGTGAACTTCCAGTAACAGTCGTTGACCTTTTCCAACTTAATTAATCTTATTAACATGTGAACCACGCCTGGAGGTCAGGGTCAGCTCATCCCGGGTTCGCCTTCCCAAAAAGTCAGCCAGCTCCAGAGAGAACTCCAGAGCCCCTGGTCCTGTTGTCTGCCCCTTCTCCTTCCGCCTCTCTGCGTGCACCCTGTCTGTCCTGACCCCTGCCTGCCTCTCCGGCTCACTTCTCCCCTTCTTTCCCCATAGAAATCAACGGCACCCAGATTTGCCCCAACAACCTGGTGGCCTTCCACGACTTCTCCTCGGATCTGGAGAACGTGCCGCACCTCCGTTACCTGCGGCTGGACGGGAACTACCTGCAGCCGCCCATCCCACTGGACCTCATGATGTGCTTCCGCCTGCTGCAGTCCGTGGTCATTTAGGCTGTGGGGGCCCTGGGTCTCCTCTGACCGCACTTGAATGCTGGTGGGCAGGTGCCTATGCCCACCGGGCATTTCCTCTCTTTCTTTCCTGCTCCCAGCTTTGCCCTTCTCATCCCACCTTCCTGAGGCAGGGACACGCCACAAACCCTGCTGCACCACAGCTTCTGGAGTGAGAGCTCTGAGGGCCTGCTGGCCCCATGCAGTCCAGAGACTCCCAGGCTTCTGGCCCCAGAGACACAGATGTGTGTCTAAAGACGTGACAGCCCCTTCTCTCTTCTCCTCCCCCAACACTCCTGGGTAAGTTTCGGCCAGGGACTGACGTCTGGATCCATAGAGAATATCCAGCCCTCTGAGGCTGAAGTCAGAAAAATCACACCCCTTCCATACATGCCCACCTACAACCAGCCTGTCCCCAGTGTCTGACAGACAGGGCAGGCTGAGTGGGCTCCCGGTCGGTGGGGGGTCGGTGGGGGGATCGTGTTCTCAGCAATGACCTCCTGCTGCCACGTAGCGAGGCCAGTCCTTTACAGTTTGCAAAATACCTTCAAGAAAGAAAGACAAAGACAAAGGAGAACAACACAGTGATGCCAACCCCGCAGGTGACAAAGAGGCCAGGCCTAGGGAAAATTAAAATATTCATTTAGAAGATAACATAGTGACATCATCTAAGAAGGGGTGAAGGAGAAATGTAACCTCATGGTCCACTTGAAAGCTCACCACAATTTGGCTGCAACCTACCTCTCCGCCTTCCTCTCCCTAGAGGCAGTCATCACTTCTAAATCTATAGGCTTATCACGCACCCCCGCCTTCCCGGGCCTCCTTCCTTCTTCCTGCCCTGTTTCGGTTAGGGTGACCATCCTCTGTCTACCCTCATGCTCGGGGCCAGAGCACAGGAAACCTCCCAACTCATTCTGCCGTCCACCTGCTGGCTTCAGACCTTGTCTCCCCCATTGTTTCTCCACACCGTAGTGAGATTTGTCTTTTTACAGTGTAAACCTGGTCATAGGACCCTTCTGGATTTAAAATGCAGGATGCTGTGGCTCATATATCCCGTCATCCCTCATAATGACAGTCCTGCTCAATGCCACTCCTCAGACTGGAGATCAAAACCCCCATCCTCACTAAAATATTTGAAAGCCTACCATAATTTGTGGCCACAACTTACCTCTCCAGCTTCCCCTCCCTAGTATCACATTATTCTATTTACCACCCCCAGATTCTGTCACGAGCTTTTCGGCCTCCCTAATTTCATTCAGATGGGTCACCCTACCAGAACCCAGGTCTCCCCTATGAACTCCTACTATCTTTGAAGGTCCAGCTCAAAGTTTACTTCGTCCGTGAACTTCCAGTAACAGTCGTTGACCTTTTCCAACTTAATTAATCTTATTAACATGTGAACCACGCCTGGAGGTCAGGGTCAGCTCATCCCGGGTTCGCCTTCCCAAAAAGTCAGCCAGCTCCAGAGAGAACTCCAGAGCCCCTGGTCCTGTTGTCTGCCCCTTCTCCTTCCGCCTCTCTGCGTGCACCCTGTCTGTCCTGACCCCTGCCTGCCTCTCCGGCTCACTTCTCCCCTTCTTTCCCCATAGAAATCAACGGCACCCAGATTTGCCCCAACAACCTGGTGGCCTTCCACGACTTCTCCTCGGATCTGGAGAACGTGCCGCACCTCCGTTACCTGCGGCTGGACGGGAACTACCTGCAGCCGCCCATCCCACTGGACCTCATGATGTGCTTCCGCCTGCTGCAGTCCGTGGTCATTTAGGCTGTGGGGGCCCTGGGTCTCCTCTGACCGCACTTGAATGCTGGTGGGCAGGTGCCTATGCCCACCGGGCATTTCCTCTCTTTCTTTCCTGCTCCCAGCTTTGCCCTTCTCATCCCACCTTCCTGAGGCAGGGACACGCCACAAACCCTGCTGCACCACAGCTTCTGGAGTGAGAGCTCTGAGGGCCTGCTGGCCCCATGCAGTCCAGAGACTCCCAGGCTTCTGGCCCCAGAGACACAGATGTGTGTCTAAAGACGTGACAGCCCCTTCTCTCTTCTCCTCCCCCAACACTCCTGGGTAAGTTTCGGCCAGGGACTGACGTCTGGATCCTGGTCTTGGCCGAAGCCAGCAGAAGATGGCCAGTCAGGAGCAGCCCAGAGGTGAGATGTTGGAACACCAGCTGGAGACTCTCCCATTGTGGGCGGCTCTGGCCCGGGTCCCCTTAGCCAAGGATCCCATCATCCAAAACTATGGCTCCACCGCCCTGTTCACTGGCACCGGACATGGTGCAGGCTGTCTGCTGACTGTTCTCCAGACCGGAAGTGAGGGAATGGCTGAGGGTAGGTGGAGGATCGGGGTTCCTGCAGTCGCCTGCGTCTGGCTGTCTCTTCACAGGGATGAGCTGAGTCCTCAGCCCGCACCCACCTCCCTGAGATTTCCTCTCCTAAGAGTCAGAACAGGGGGCAACAAGGAGAAAAATGGCTCAAGGAGCTAGGAATCAGCCTGTGGAGAGTGCTGGGGGTCAGAGCCCCTGGACAGGCCCCTGTGGGTACAGATGGGTCCCACAGCCCTCTGGGCTGCTCTGGACCAGGAGCCTGATGCCCTGGGGAACATAGTGTCCACAGTGGAGGGTACAGAGCCAGCAGCCCCACCCTTCCATCTGTTCTCTATCAGTGTGGGTGGCCCAACCCTTCCCAACCCCTGGGAAGAGGCTGGAGAAGAGGCAGAGCACCTGGAAATCTCCCAGAAGCCTCTTGTCTGTGTGCAAATTGACCTCACCCCTCTTAAGACAGACACATCAGTGACACCTGGTGGCTGGTGCAGGTCACAGCCAGCCCAGTCTTCTCACGTCTCGGGTGATTTTCCAAGGTCAAGTTGCTGGCCTCCAGCTCCAACTTGCAAAGCCATGGGCCATGAGCATCTCCGATTTCTCCTCTGGGGTCTAAAGGGCACAAAGGTACAGAGACCCTAAGGCAAGGGACTGATTCCCATCATGAGTGAGCATAAGTAGGAACCTCCGGAAACCCAGGAGACAGATTGTCCTGTTTGCTGTCTGAGCTTGTAGGTCCCTTCTTCCCCCAGCTCCCAAGTCTGTAAACCCAGGGGTGATAAGATGTCCCTCTGAGGTCCCTCCAGCACTCATGTTCCCGTCTGTGGCTCCAGCCTTTAGGCCCTGCTCTAATTCAGGACAAGTCCTAAATACTGTCCCCTTCCCCTGCAGTAATTTATTCCCCGTGTGGACTGTCCCCCCTCCGAAGTCCCCCACCTCCCTGCCTGGGCCAGGTGAGTGACTTGGCAGGCCTCCAAGCACAGCCTGGGACTCCAGGGCTGACCCGCCTCCCCCTTGCCCTTCACTTCCTCTTCCCCTAAGGCGTGTTGCCCCCGACAGCCCCCTGAGTATGTATGTTGGTGGTGGGTTGGGGGGGATGTTCTAGAATTTAGGAGGACACAGTGCCCACCCTCAAGTTAGGTTGAGAAAAATTCAGAGATTTTTAAGAAGTTGCGTTAAGCTAGGTCTCTAACTTCAAGAGATCCTGTTGTACTTTCTCATCTGTCTCTTTCGCTAATTGACAGAAAACGGGGCCCGTTTCCTCGTAGCCTCCTCCTCCGTGCGCCCATACAACTGCTCCTTTCTTCCTAGCTGTGGCTTTTTTCTCTGAGGCTCCTGCTTAAAGTCAGTGTGTTACTGTGGCTCTAAGCAACCTGGTGCTGTGGCCTGGATAAGCTGCCCTCCCACACCCTGCTCACACCCTGCAACCTTAGCCCCTCCGATGAGGCCATCCTGGGGGCAGAGCTGGGGCTCCCGGTGGGGAGGGCTCACTCCCTGCTTCCGCAAACCGGGGGTGTTCTGTTTCAGCAGCAACCCGATCACCACCATTCGGCTGCCCTGTCTAGAATATGTCTGCTCCCCCCATTGCTCCCTGGTGGCTATAAGCCAGAGGGGATTCAAGTTCAATTGGCTTTATAGCAACACCACCCCCACACACAACATGCTGGTTCCCCTGGGTTTCAGGAAGCCCACTCCTCCACACAAGTTCATTCTGTCCGTGCTGTCAGCATCTACATATACATGTGTGTATGTAGGTATGTGTTCTCTGTACATACATCTATTCTTTCTCAAAGGCCATGTTAACTGCGTGAAACAACTTTCACATTCCAACATGCTTCACAGCAGAGGAAATAAAGTAATATGAAAGATATCCTGCTTGAACTTGACAATGAACAGGTCAAGAATGTCTTGAAGTCATCTCCAACAGCATCACCACCCACCCACCCACCCCCACCCTCCATCTCCCATCTCTTACCTGCCCTGAGAAGATGGGTGGAGAAAGGATCCTATGCTTAAGAATCTCAAAGAACACGATTCCAAATCCTCTTCTTGGCAAATTTCCCCCAAATTCACAATCCTCATGAAAACTTATTACTAAAGTTGGACCAGAAGCTGACGGCTGCATTTGAAGCCCAGAGCCCCTGGGATTCTCTCAACCTACAGATGCCGAATTGTTCAGGGCTTCCCACATGCTCTGTACTGAGTCAGATACAGAAAGACGAAACAGTTACCATTCCTGACCAAGTAAAGCTTACAGACGAGCTGAGGAGATGCAGTTTAAGAACCATGACACGGGGCAGAGCTGTTTCAGAGGCAGAGAACAAAGGGCCACATTATCTGAAATGGTCTACAAGCCAACCACATGCTCGCAGAGGGGCGAGAATGGGATGCAAGAATCTCCAGATGGGAGTTTGATTCCAGAACTGGGCTTGTTGATCCCTCAGCTCGCACCCCTTTCTGTAAGATGAGAACTGCCTTACGCTGCACCCACCCCCACCCCCTCCCTCCTAAATGCCTGCTTCAATTCAATTCAGAAAGTTGTCAACAGACATCACCTATGTGTAGGGACCCCAGCTAAGAATTCAAGGATAGATGATAGACACTCCATGCCCTTGAGGCATTCATAGCTTGGTAAAGGGAAAAATCCATGAATTAATAATTCTGTGTCTCAAGTCTTTGTAAAATGCTGTACAAAGGGCATGGCAGAGAGGGCCTCTACCTCTGAGGGGGACCCAGAGAGGCGCCCATCATTTGAGGAGGATACTAAGGGATGAATCAGATTGTGCTTGGTGGCAGAATGATGTAAAAGCACATGCGGAGAGGAGAGAGCGCGAGCCGGAAGGTAGGAGGGCGCGGAGTGTGCCCGCAGGGTGCGTGTGTCCAGCCTTTTTCTCCGGCTGGTGAGCGCGGAGCCTCTGCCTTTGTAAATGGGACTCTGAACATGCAGAGAGGCCGAGGGGAGGCGCTCTGACCAGTGCCACCGCCCACAGCCTGCAGCTCCGAGGAAGCACGTCAACACCGGAGGGAGGGGCTGAAGGCGGCCATCCAAAGAGGTGAATGGGGGATGGGGCTGCACCTGAAAGCCGGAGGTTCTCCAGGGATGACGATGATGATGGTGGCGAGGAGGATGTAGGAAATTCTCAGAATCTGCTGAGGTTAGGCCCTAGAAAATTCTTCCTGATCACAGACATCAGAAGGCATGGTGTGGGGCCCACAGGGGGCTGGGCAGAATCCTCTTCCCCACCCTCACCCCCCCACCGAAGCCATATTCATCAGGACAGACTTGCTTGGCGCCTGAGGCTCTGCAGGGCAAGTCCTGGCTGAGGGCAGGGCTGCGCAGACTAAGATGTGGTCCCCCGACTCCCCTGGCCCACGTGTTTGCCCGGGTTCTGCAGCGAGTTTCCTCCAGGGGCCAGATCCTGCGTCCTGGCCACAGAGCTCCCTGAAGACGGGAGTCCAAGCCTCTGTTGTGCAGATGGGAAACCGGGGCCCAGGGAGGGGAGGGGCTTGCTCAGGATCGCACAGAGCCGGAGCCGGGGCCTAGGTTTCCCGTCAGGCCGGCGTTGCCCTTTTGTTCATGTGATCGACTCCCTCTGCACCTTGGTCTCCCCTGCCCCAGCCCCGCGACAGTGTGCCTCAGTGCCCTCAGAACAGATGGCCTTGGCAGGCCTCTCTGCCCCGGGGCACCAGGTGAAGGGGCGGATCTAACAGCCTGGCCCAAGGGGCAGTGTTGGCCTGCAGTGTTCCCCGCACCAGCTGGCTTGGAGGAGGCTTCTCCGTGCGCCAGAACCTGGTCACCGAAGGAGCGTGTGCATCTGTTCCCCTGGCCGCCAGTGTCTAGGGAGAAGCAGGACAGCGGCTCTGTGGCGGGGAGGAGGGGCAGCCCTGCAGCCAGGAGGATGCCCAGGAAGCAGATGGCTTATTTGGAGCAATGTCCTTCTGACCTCCCACAGCCAGATCCCACCCCGCGCCCCCGTCCCCGGCACATCTCCCCCTGCCCTCCTCTTCCCACGCTGTTTATTCCCTGCAACTGTTCATTCATTCCCCCTGCCACCTGCTCCCACTCTCCCTTCCCACTTCCTCCGCGTCACACAGTGGCCCCACCACACGCTCTTCCAGCTTTGCGGTCACACACACAGCCAGTCTCATACCCCACGGGCACCAGCTTCCCTCCTCCCCAACAAAGAGCCTTTTCTGACCCAGGCCTCAAGTCCTAGACCCTCTCCCAGCTTCTGCTCCTGCTTTCACAAGCTGGCCGGGCACGCAGTCCAGTTCCCGTGGGTCTCAGGGAGTGTCCGGAGGGGGGTGGGTGTGACCTGTGTGGGAACCGACTCAGCAGCACGCTGTGCAGGCCTTCAGCTCCCTGGGAGCCTGCGAAAGGGGGTGGGCGGTGCGGGCGGCCTTCTCATCTAATCCGAGACTCTCATTAGGAGAAGCACAAGGCGTGCTGATGGAAAGGAGGTGGCAGGGGCTGCGGACAGAAGCCTGGCCAGCTGACCCTGTGGCCACCCTGCTCATGGGCAGGGAGAGGGGCTGGGTGGAAACATCAGGAACCCACCTGCTTTTTGGACAGCAGGGATATACTCCCTGCTGAGGGCTAATAGGCACATACCTCCCCGACCAGAACACAACCCTCTCCTTTTCTCAGACACACATACACACACACACACACACATACACACACACTCCGTCCTCCTACCTTCGGCTGTGCTCTTTCCTCTCCTGGTTATGTGCTCTCCCCCCACTTCTGCCACCTAGCAAAATCTGATTCATCCCTTAGTACCCACCTCAAATGGTGGGAGCCCCATCCCTGCATGTGCCCCCACCCCTTCTCTGAGAGTACAGAATCTGAGGCGGGGGCTGTCCCTTAGGGGGTGTGAACTGCCTGCCCCTCAAAGTGGCTGGGCCAGAAAGGTAGCAGGCAGACAAAGAGGGGAGAAGAGGGTAGGGGCAGGAGTGGAGTGGGGAGAGGAAGAAAGAATTCCCTCTGAATAAGCAAAAGACCTGGCAGGGCCCCTGAGGAAGGTGGAGGGAACGCAGCAGGATGCCAAGAAGAAGGGAAGTCTGATTGGCCGCCTGCTGGCCTTGGCCGGCTCCCCTCCGGCCCCACTGTCTCCTCAGGCCCCACTGCAGAGGCCCAGCTGTCAGAGTGCCTGCTTCCCTGGAAGCTCCGAGGCTCCGATCAGAACCACAGGAGTGTAGCTGGTAATGTTCGAAGTTGAGGCCCGTTGGTGTGCAGATGAGAGGGAGTGCAGAGGGCTGGGGCAGGGACTGGGCTGGGGCAGTGGGGAGAGTTGAGGCCTTGGGCAGAGAATCCGGAGGAGGTTTCTGTGGGGTGGGAGGTGGGCAGTAAGCTCTGTCTTAGGACTTTTTAAAAAGATTTTTGAAAGATGGAATAATTTGGTCTGGAGCAAAGTATCGTAGGTAAGTTGAAGAGAGACCTCTTCCTACTGCAGGAGGCTTATGTTCTTCCCCAGCTGAAATGAAGAAAGTAAGTGGGAGAGTCTACTAGAAACTCATGCCGCTGGCTTTGGAGAGGGCTGCGTTAGCAGAGATACGCTGGGTGGCTCACACCACACCACATACATTCCTTGACCTGTCTGTGCATGTGTGCGTGTGCTTATGCAACCATTTATGCCCATACGCACATCACATACGTGTATAATCACCTGAGCGCACAAATGTACACAGATAGCTAAGGAACTTTCTAGATATATGAATACCCCCACAACCACACACAAAGAATGCTTTTGCGTCTGTAATCACTGATTTCTAAAAAGCCATAGTTATATTTTATCAATTGAACTTTCTTTTTTACGTTCTATGTCACTTTTTAAGCTCACGTCCTCTAAATGGGCTAGGTGTTCCTAGAACTAGGCATGCCTTATTCATTTCTGTGCCCCTAAAGATAAGCCCAGTGCTGGGAACACAATGAATACCCTGTAAATATTTGTTGAGCAAATGCATGAATGAATGAATAATTTTTTTAAAAACTACAAGACTCCCTGATGTTGAAGTTTCTTTAACTCTGGCGGCTGATGATCATCCTCAGGGTGCGCTTGTATAGGAGCAAACATGTGGACCTGGTTGGCGTGTCTCTGTTGGGATGAGTAAATGAGCCCTTGCGAGGTGTCTGCACAGGCTGTGTGAGTGAATATCAGCCTGTGCATCAGCACGCAGACCGAGGTGGGGTGGTGGCGAGGGGGCTGGCGGGAGACACCCCCTGGACACAGCCCAGCCTTCGGGGAGCTCGCACACAGCTTGCGTGATGACTGACATGAGTCTGCAAGTGCAGGGGTGGGAAGTGGGGTGAGCTGTGAGCTGTACACACAAAGCTCGAGAGAGCCCTGCCCCCCAGATGCTGCCTGCTCCCCAGGACTGGACGCTGAGGGGGTTCAGCCTGTTCTCATCCCCACTCCCACCTCCCAGGACCCCATGAAGCTCCTGGCTTTCCTGAGCTTGCTGGCCCTGGCGTTGCAGGAAGCGCGCACAGCTTCCCTCCCAAAGCAGGAGCTGGAGAGGAGAGAAGAGGGCCTGCGAAGGGAGGGTGACTTGTCCACAGCTCTGCCTCTGGGGAACTATGGCCTGAGCCTGGACAGCTATGATGAGGTCATTGACCTGAGCAGCTATGAGCAGCTCCCAGACTATGGGGACCAGCTCCCTGAGGTGAGAAGCACACATTCCCTGCAAGAGACTGGGAGTCAAGGGTCTGGCCTCTCTCTGCCTGCCCACCATGCAGGCGTCCCAACCACCAGCTCTTTCTCTAGGAGGTGGAAATTCTCGTCCCTCCAGAGGAACTTAGACGATACTAAAACAGAGGATGACAGACCCTCAATTTCTTTGTTCATTTGTAGTAAATTTGATGCGACTTCCCTTAGAAGTCACTCCTCCCTGCCCCTGCCTTCAGGTACTACCTCAAGTCGTAGCTCTCTGGCCTGGGAGTTGGCGCTGTCCTCAGATTCTCCCTAGAAACGGAAATGGTGCCAGAGCCCCCGTCTTCTCTCTGGCTGTCTTCCGGTCCAAAGCCTTTGAGCCGCTCCTGGCCTTCCCAGGGGCTGGCCTGAAGCCCGTGTTTGCCCTGTGCACTTGGTCAGCGCAGGGCAAGGGAGAGAGCAGCAGGCTGGGGGATCTGGAGATGTGGGTTCTAGCTCTGCCACAGCTTGGCCGCCAGCTGGCCGGTGGAGCCCAGCCCCTCCCATGCCCGGCCTCAGTGTCCCCCATGTGCTGACGATGTTGGACGGTGTGCTCTCTGAGAAGGTCCCTTCCTCCTTCCCTCCTTCTCCATGGTTGCCTCTTTGCAAGCTTGAAATCCATCACTGAGGTTGTCAGAGTTCAAAGGTAGGTCCCTCTCAAGCAAAAGCTGGCCTATAATGTGGACTATGTGCTCTGTCTCCAGGTTCAAGTAACCAGCCTGGCGCCTCCAACTGGGATCAGTTCCACTCAGAACACTATGAGTCCCAGGGCACCCTCTTCAAACCCCACCGTGACCAGGCCTACGATGCCAGGCCTGCTGGGCTCCCCAACCAGCCAGGGTGAGTCACAGGTCTCCATCTGCATAGGTCACAGGCTGCACAGCCACGACCCGGCTCCCAGGGCACCAAAGTGAAGTGTGGTCAGGGCTGGGAAGCGGAGGGTCAGGGCTGGCCCTTACCAGCAGGCAGAGGAGGGGAAACAGCCAGAGTAAGAACAGAAATAAAAAAAGGAATCAAAGGGAGAGGCTGGCTGTCCCTGGTGCCTTTGCCTGAATGCACAGATTAGATGGGAGGCAAAGAAATGCGGGAACTCACTATGCCTAGCAAAGCCACCCCACCTCAATTAACAGTGTCACTAGGGGAGCAGGTTGAGTGGTAATTAGATTAGAGACAATTAAAAGCCTGTAGTGAAGAATAAATAACTTTGTGGCTGTCACTTGGCATGGGGGCAGATGGAGCATTCACATGGCCTTTCAGCTTTACATTCCCTCAGCAGCTCTCCCCTCCCTGACGCCCCCTGGAGACTGGGATGCTGGTGGATCTGGCAGGAAGGGGGTGGCACTCTGCTGGGGATCAGAACTGAGGCAGAGGAAGGGTGCAATTAACCCCTCTGTTCCTAGTCTCCTCTTGGGATGTTTGCCTTGGGCAGACCCAGGACACGGGGGTGTTGGCAGGAGTCCAGGACCCCCAGAGCTGAGGATCCCAGGCTTAAAGAGGCCATAAAGGGCCTCAGCTGGATAAGAAGGGTGCTGTGTCCCTTTCTGCTCTGCCTGCACCGGTCTGGTCCCTGCTGGCAAAAAAGAGCCGCCTCTTAATCTTGGAGCCGTGTCACTGCTGTTGGAGTTGCCCTTGAGTCGGACTCACAGTGATGTCCTGACATCTCTGTCCCTTGTCCAGCAAGTGACAGAAACCACCTGCACTATTCAGTTGTGTGGGCCTCTGAGGTGATAGCCTGGCCTAAGCATCATGACCGCTGGTTGTGGGCTGAGAACTGGGACGCCAACACCTTAAGAGGGAGACTGAATTCTGGGCCAGCCCTGTCCACTCCACCTGGGCTCTATCGTGCTTCTCAGAGCTGCACAGAACACATCTAACTCCCTGCCCACCAGGCAGCTGACAGAACAACCATGCGCCATTCCACTCAATTCTGCTTTTATTTCACCTTTACCTTTACCATACCTTTTGGCACCAGAGGGGAGCCCCGTGGAAAAGATGTCCTAGAAACCCCCACCCACACAGGCCTGGCAACACCTACACAGGACCAGGGACTGAAGAGGGCACTGATGGGCTTGGACGGGTAAGACCCAAGAGCCGGTCTGCCTCTTCCGGGCCAACGGCTGAGCACCAGGCTGGGGGCAGCCCGCAGCCCTGCCCGGGCGCACGGTGACAGTCCTGGCCACGGCTCAGGCACTCCGAGGCCCGCTGGTCCCAGGGACCGAGGGAGTTTGACCAGGGGTCTCGTTTTGCTCTGTCTCCCTGGCCAGCCCTGCCCACCTGTCTGGTCTGCGTGTGCCTCGGTTCCTCCGTGTACTGTGACGATGCCAACCTGCACATCATCCCTCCCCTTCCCCAGACAACCGCCTACCTGTATGCCCGCTTCAACCACATCAGCCACATCCAGGCAGGAGACTTCAGAGGGCTGAGTATGTAATGCCCTAGAAAAAGAGGAGGGTGAGCCTGGCAGGGAGAGCTCCTCTCCCTTGCCACCCAGCAACGTAAAGGTCGCCAGTCAGTGTCTGCTGGTGTCAGCCTTTCTCTGCCAGCTTCCAGCCTTTCCAGCTGTCAGACGGGAATGGCCCCAAGTCTCTCTAATTCCTTCCCTTGAAGATTTTCCATGGCAGAAGTGACCTGTTCTCATTTGTTGTCCCACATGCTCTGGTTGGGATGGGGAGGACAGGCCCAAGCGTCTGTTTTCGGGATGCGCCAGCAGCTGCAGCTCTGGGCCCTGCTAGCCCCTGGACCAGCCCGTGCTGAGTCTGCTCTCCATGGCACCGACGCCGTTTGCGCGGTCTTTGGTGCGCGTGCCTGTTTCGCCTCTTACGCCGTGCACCCTGGGGCCTCATCCAGATTCTCCCACAGCCTCTGGCCTCAGCATCCTTTTGTGTAGACGGACAGTAAGGGAGGAATGGATCCGGGGACTCCTGGCTGGGTCTTGCCCTCAAAAGGTTTCTTCCAAACTGACCCAAGGTGGGCCCTCCTGGTTTGGGCCTGGTGCGGGTGGACAACTGGCTGGCATGCCCTGTCCTGAGGGGGACAGAGCAGGCCACGGGCGACTCCTACAGGGGCAAGGGAAGACGGCGTGTCCCGTGTCTCTGTGCTCACCCCGTGCCCTTAGCAAAATTGAAGAGGATTGATCTCTCTAGCAACTGCATCTCCTCCATCGATGCCGATGCCCTCTCCCTGCTGCCCGAGCTGCAGGAGCTGATCCTCCCGGAGAACCAGCTGGCGGCTCTGCCTAAGTTGCCCCCTGGCATTGAGGTCCTGGACGCCCGCCTGAATCGGCTCCAGAGCTCGGGGATCCAGCCTGAGGTGCTCAGGGTGAGCCAGGGCCCTCGGTCCACCATCCGCCACCCACCGCTCATGCCCACGACATGCATACCCACCTTGCCCTCCTGGGATGTCCTTGTCCCCCCGCCCGTTCTGGGGAATGAACAGCAAACCCCATGGTTTTCACCTGCTCTCATTTGTTTTACTAAAGGTTCTTTATGATATAAGAAACCGATTCTGATTCATGAAAAGGGTGTTTTTACAACATGCCATCCCAGGAACCTCCATGAAAAGAGAACGCAGGCCTCAGGAGCAAGTTACTGGGCAGAGGGTGTGGGCAAAGTCCGAGACCAAGGCCAGCACTCTCCCTCTTTGGGGCACACGGTGTCTTGGCTTCCTGCTGTGCAGCTGCCCTGTTCTCCCTGCACACCAGCGTCCTCTGCACACTCGGCTTCTGCCCCTGCAGAACCCTGGCTTTCACGCGACTTGCAGCAGTGCTGGCTCCAGGCCTAACTGTACAGAAACTTGTATTTCCAAAATTCACTGCTAAGTGACTAATCGTTGTCTTTCTATGATCATTGACTTATATGACTCTCAAAAGAGGCAGTCTGGTCACTGTCGCTTTTGGTGGGAGGCACATGGCACCATGATCCCCTGCAGCTGCCCATTCAGCAGGGCTGGGAAGAGCCCCAGGGGCAGCTGCAGTGAGGACCTGAAGAAGGGTAGGAACAGGACTGGCACTCCCAGCTCTGTCACACTTGCCTCACGTGTGCCCGGGGCTCTCATTCCACGGATTTGGGTATTTCCTGAACGTGCTCTCCAGAGCCACTCCGGGCTTAGCATTCAGAGACTCTTCATTTGGGAAAACCCCTCTGACAGCGAGAAGTCATGGCGGAGCTGCTATGTCCCTTGTCCTGCCCTTGCTGCTCCTCATTAATGGCTGACCTTGCCCCGGCTGCCTGCCCTGCAATGGCAGCGCTTTCCTGCTGCTCTGAGGGAGCTCCTGGGGGGCTGGGACCCACCACCCCTGCAGAGCCCGGCATGGGGCCTGCGCACGGCTGTGGCTCAGGACACCCCAAGTGGACCGAGGGGGTCATGGCAGGTGCACCTCGCGGCCAGGGCCTCCAGGGTCCGCCAGCTTCTCCCCTCCTTTGCTTCTCCGCAGACGCTGGAGAAGCTGCAGTCCCTGTACCTGGCCAACAACCTGCTGGACTCCGTCCCCGGGCCCCTGCCCCTGAGCCTGCGCTCACTACACCTGCAGGTGAGCGGCCCCCCAACAGCAAGAGCATGAACGTAGCAGAGAGCAGGGCTCAGGTGACGCGGCAGCCGTGGGGTCTCTGGCCCCAAGTCATGACTCTCATCAGAGCTGTGATCAGGGGGTCTGGGCCGGGCCCTTGTTCACAGCCTCGGTTTTGTCTCCTCCCTTTCCTTCCCTGCCCGTCGGTGTCATTCGCTCGGCTCACCAGCTGCTGGTTCCTCCCCTCCCTTCCCCTCTGTCTCCTCTTCCCTTCCTCCGTTTTCTCTCTCGGCTCTCCCTCCATCCACCCTCCACGGGTGCCCCCTCCTCGGCCCTTGCCGTGTGGCCTTGGCTTCATGAGTCGGGTTCCTCCATCTCCAGAAGGGGAGCAGAGCAGGCGGGGACCCCGAGTGAGACATGCCCTCAGTGCCGCCCAGGGCTCACTCCAGGCGGGAGCTTGGCAGCACCAGTGCGCTCCTTCCAGAATAACGTGATAGAGCGCGTGCAGAGAGATGCCTTCTGTGACCCCGAGGCGCACAGGCACACCCGGAGGCGGCTGGAGGACGTCCGCCTGGATGGCAACCCCGTCAACCTGGGCCTCTTCCCCAGTGCCTACTTCTGCCTGCCCCGGCTCCCCACAGGCCGCTTCTCCTAGCTCAGCCCTGTTCCTCCCGGGCAGGAGCCCTCGGAGGACGCCCCTCGCGGGCCACAGGGCCCAGTGCCCTGACTCTGAATGCCTTTCATCTTAATCAGCCTCACGTCCAGTTGTGGAGATCACCCCCACCCGCCAGCACACGTTCGGAAATGTCCTTCAGCAGCTAAACCTGCATTTCTTCATCCTCTTTCCTTAATGTCTTATGTTTCCTGGCTCAGAGAACAGGGTCTGTAGCAAGGTTTTTTCCCATGATCCCCATCCCTCCTACCCGCACAGATGCCGGGATAGTCGTGTAAGAAGAGGACAGGGAAGGAGGGAGAGGGGGACCCAGCGATGTGTTTTTCTTCCTACTGGGCTTGCAAGGATGCATTTATTAATTACATTTTCCAGCATTTTGCAAGCCAGTTGTTAAACACAGTCATATTAAAAATTATATTATAAAAACTTGCAATCAAGTATATTATGTTGAAACAAAAGTAAGAAATACTCAAACGCATCACTTCCCAAGAATTTTATTCTATTTTATAGCTGACCATTTTCTTGAATTTATCTCCACCCTGGTATCTGTAGGCAGAACTACTGTGTGCTGACGTGCAATGCTGCTCGCAGGGATGTCACATTGGAAGTTTGAAATTGGCCACAGTAGGGTATTTATGCCGTGGAAATCAGTGACTAGTAGGACTGTTTTTTTCTGAGAGCTGGTTGTATCCACGGATTTGGGTATTTCCTGAACGTGCTCTCCAGAGCCACTCCGGGCTTAGCATTCAGAGACTCTTCATTTGGGAAAACCCCTCTGACAGCGAGAAGTCATGGCGGAGCTGCTATGTCCCTTGTCCTGCCCTTGCTGCTCCTCATTAATGGCTGACCTTGCCCCGGCTGCCTGCCCTGCAGTGGCAGCGCTTTCCTGCTGCTCTGAGGGAGCTCCTGGGGGGCTGGGACCCACCACCCCTGCAGAGCCCGGCATGGGGCCTGCGCACGGCTGTGGCTCAGGACACCCCAAGTGGACCGAGGGGGTCATGGCAGGTGCACCTCGCGGCCAGGGCCTCCAGGGTCCGCCAGCTTCTCCCCTCCTTTGCTTCTCCGCAGACGCTGGAGAAGCTGCAGTCCCTGTACCTGGCCAACAACCTGCTGGACTCCGTCCCCGGGCCCCTGCCCCTGAGCCTGCGCTCACTACACCTGCAGGTGAGCGGCCCCCCAACAGCAAGAGCATGAACGTAGCAGAGAGCAGGGCTCAGGTGACGCGGCAGCCGTGGGGTCTCTGGCCCCAAGTCATGACTCTCATCAGAGCTGTGATCAGGGGGTCTGGGCCGGGCCCTTGTTCACAGCCTCGGTTTTGTCTCCTCCCTTTCCTTCCCTGCCCGTCGGTGTCATTCGCTCGGCTCACCAGCTGCTGGTTCCTCCCCTCCCTTCCCCTCTGTCTCCTCTTCCCTTCCTCCGTTTTCTCTCTCGGCTCTCCCTCCATCCACCCTCCACGGGTGCCCCCTCCTCGGCCCTTGCCGTGTGGCCTTGGCTTCATGAGTCGGGTTCCTCCATCTCCAGAAGGGGAGCAGAGCAGGCGGGGACCCCGAGTGAGACATGCCCTCAGTGCCGCCCAGGGCTCACTCCAGGCGGGAGCTTGGCAGCACCAGTGCGCTCCTTCCAGAATAACGTGATAGAGCGCGTGCAGAGAGATGCCTTCTGTGACCCCGAGGCGCACAGGCACACCCGGAGGCGGCTGGAGGACGTCCGCCTGGATGGCAACCCCGTCAACCTGGGCCTCTTCCCCAGTGCCTACTTCTGCCTGCCCCGGCTCCCCACAGGCCGCTTCTCCTAGCTCAGCCCTGTTCCTCCCGGGCAGGAGCCCTCGGAGGACGCCCCTCGCGGGCCACAGGGCCCAGTGCCCTGACTCTGAATGCCTTTCATCTTAATCAGCCTCACGTCCAGTTGTGGAGATCACCCCCACCCGCCAGCACACGTTCGGAAATGTCCTTCAGCAGCTAAACCTGCATTTCTTCATCCTCTTTCCTTAATGTCTTATGTTTCCTGGCTCAGAGAACAGGGTCTGTAGCAAGGTTTTTTCCCATGATCCCCATCCCTCCTACCCGCACAGATGCCGGGATAGTCGTGTAAGAAGAGGACAGGGAAGGAGGGAGAGGGGGACCCAGCGATGTGTTTTTCTTCCTACTGGGCTTGCAAGGATGCATTTATTAATTACATTTTCCAGCATTTTGCAAGCCAGTTGTTAAACACAGTCATATTAAAAATTATATTATAAAAACTTGCAATCAAGTATATTATGTTGAAACAAAAGTAAGAAATACTCAAACGCATCACTTCCCAAGAATTTTATTCTATTTTATAGCTGACCATTTTCTTGAATTTATCTCCACCCTGGTATCTGTAGGCAGAACTACTGTGTGCTGACGTGCAATGCTGCTCGCAGGGATGTCACATTGGAAGTTTGAAATTGGCCACAGTAGGGTATTTATGCCGTGGAAATCAGTGACTAGTAGGACTGTTTTTTTCTGAGAGCTGGTTGTTCAGCTTTTGCCAGCGCACCACTGAGGAGAAGGAATAGCCGTTTGAACTAGCCTTCCCCCTTCCCAGGGCACCCCACTGCGGGTAGCGTAGGCTTTCTTTAATTTCTTCCTGTTCCTAGGCCTTCCTGTTGTATTTGGAGGGAGCCATCCGTAAGGATGGAGGGCTGGCGTGACTCTTCACCTAGCCTCCCTCCTTGTAGTGCCTCCCTCCTTGCAGTGCCTCTCCAGTCCGGGCCCACCCACCGCCTCGGAGCGGGACTCGGCCGGCTGGTTCCTGGCCACGGGGTTTTCCATCCCTCCTGTGCTCTCTTCCAAATTGGACCACCAGAGGGCAGCCTTCTGCAAAGATAAATAAATAAATACAGCAATTACTTCCGACCTTCTGGAGCCTGGGCAGGGTCTGCCGTGCCCAGAAAAGGGGAAGGGAAGCTGTGATCCGGCTGACTTGTGTCTTGAATTATAAAGGGAGGGGAGATGTCACCTTCTACTTCTTAAAAGGAGATGTTGGACAAGTGGGATGTAATAGATGGGTGCTTGGTATCAAGTGTTGACTGAGGCATGAAAAGGGTGAGGCAGGCAATTCTTTTCTCTCTCAGCAAGGACTTTTTGAGCACCTGTCTGTCACGTGCCTTTTCTGCATGAGCTTAGAATCGGGTGCAGAAGACACCTGTTAATAATCACACAAATAACCACACTATCAACTCACGGTAAATTCTGTAAGAAGACTATACAGAATGCTATGCAAGCTTATAGGAGAGGGCCTAAAGGTCCAGGAGAGCTTGAAGAATTGATGTCTAAGCTGAAACGTGAAGGAGTAGGAGTTAGCCAGGCACTCGGTTGCCAAGGCAACCACTCAAGGTCCCAGGTGTCCCCTGAGGCCCCATGGGCAGGTGTGTGCTCTGGCCCCCATGCAGGGAGCCACTGTCTGCCCTGCCGCCTCTGCCCAGCCCCTCTCTAAGCACTGGGATGCTCCGGCTGGTCTGCAAACAGACAAGTCCGGGATTATCAGTCTCATTCCTCGGAGGAAGAAATCGAGAACTGGAGAAGATACAGCACTTAGCCCACCCAGCTCTCACGGGTCGCTGAGGCCCCACCGAGACCCAGTCAGAGGCTGCAGACCGGCAGTGGAAGGTCTCGAAGATGCGCTCATGTGGTTCCCCTGGTGTTGGTGTCTCGCCTAGAGGCCCAGGGACGACGGGGAAGGCAGGGGGCCGGTAGCTCCTTGCCTTTCAGAACAGTAAGGTCTGGCCTTTCCTCGTCCTGTCTTCAGGGAGCTTGTTACAGCCTGAACTCTCTCTCTCTCTCCTCTCTCTCTCTCTCTCTCTCTCTCTCTCTCTCTCTCTCTCTCTCTCTCTCTCATCCACCATCCAGCAGTCCTAGCCTCTCTTCCACGCCATCCTCTTCCATAGCCTAATCTCCCGCATCATGACAAGGCTTAGGCATGCAAAGCTGAAAGTCCCAAGATGCCCAGTTGGAAGAAACCCTGGACTGAAAGCATCAATGAAAAAAACCAGAAAGGTGCCCCTGAGTGCTGGAAGCCATAGCACCCCTACATGCCCCAAGCTTAATCTGCACTGAGCACAGAAAGTCGCTGCCCCTGCTGCAGTGGGAGAAAGGGCTGACAATTCCTGGACTCCTGGAGTTTGCCAGATGCCATAAAAGAAGGTGTTCCACACATCAACTCATTTAATCTCACCAACAGCTCTAGGAAGTAGGAATCCATGCTGCCGGAAGAAGGAGCAGGCTGATGAAAGGGAAGTGGCTCAAATTCACACAGCTGATAAGTGGGGAGTCAGGATTCAAACTCAGTCGGTGGTGAGCACAGGGTCTGAGCTGCTGCTCCCGAGCGCTTTCGAGGGCAGCCTCGGAGGCAGGCCCCTGGCAGTTTCCTCCCTGAGGCCAGGGCTGCTGCGCCGGGTAGGATTCCCCAGGGGCCTTCGGTCTCTGCAGCTGTCTCCCAGCTAATCCCCCCGTTTTTGGTTTTTGGCTGGGGAAGCCCGAGGAATAGAAGCAATGCCCTCGTTGGCCACCTCCCTGAAGAAATTCTAAGCAGTGCGTCTGTCCCTGGGCCCCTCTGAGATGCAGGGAGAGGAGCAGGGAGAGAAATCCAAGGCTGCTCCCAGCAGCGGTCAAGTCTGCATGTGAAGGAGCCACTCAGGCTTCCCTGGGACCTGAAGGAGCTGAGTCAGGCCCCTGGGAGGGAGGCAGGGAACACCTCATTCAGAGCGAGGCCCTCCTGCCCAGCAGAGATGGGAAAACAACAGCGCAGAGAGGAAGGTCCCACCCCATCCAGCGCCGCCAATGCTTCCCTGCTGATGCCCCCAAACAGCCCTAGGCTGGCCTAAAATCCACCTCTTCCAGGAGCCATACTTTCCTAGCTTCACTCATCCAGGGCCTCGGTGGCCGCTAGCCCCTGTGCTCGCCCTTGGTGATGTTGGCGAGCGCGCCTGCTCTCCGGCCATCCGGCCATCCAGCCAGCCCTGCAGGAAGGGGCCTCTGCTGCTCCTCGGGGCCTTTGGGATGGTGGCCGCCCCGGCCTGTTCTGTGAGAGTCAGAGGAGCAGGCAGGGGCAAGAGGCCAGTGTGAGTTTGTTGTGACTGCCCCCCACCTGCCCACAGGCAGCCCCACAGCAGTGCGGGGCGGAGGCCGGTGGGGAAGGGAGGCTGGGAGGGACGGGGGCTAAATCCCCGCGGTGCTGGGGAGCGCTTCCTCTCACCCTCACCTCGCCTGCACCCCCTGCTTTCTCTTCCCTGTAGTCTCCTCCCTGAATAATCATTCCTCCTGTTATGGATTTGCACTTTACAGAGCAATTTTACATATGGGATCTAATTTGTAGTCCCAACAGCTCTTTGAGGAAGGTATTCCTATCCTGACTTTACAGACAGAAAAACGAGACTAAGTGATTTGCCCCGGAAAAAGACGATTTACAGAAAAACAAGGCCAGCCATCATTCCCCGGGAACTCCTGCACAGAAGGGCCGGATCCCATTCCCAGCGGCTGGAGTGACGATTAGCCGCCCAGCCCTCCCCAGGGCTCTTTGCAAAACAGAAGCATCTTCCAGGCCGAGAAACAGGGCGCTGCCCTCCAGGCCAAGTCCTGGAGCCCTGCCCAGGGGGTCCACAATCTGATGAGGGCAGAGGTAATGAGGGGATGTGGCCTTTGTGGAAATCAGCT